CCGTCTTTGTTTTAATCATTTCACTCTCTTCCTAATTCTATTGTCTGAATTAGTATAATAGTCGCAATTTCACAAAAAATAAACACTGAGGGGTTCTAAATCAAATGATTGAAATTCTTTTGTTTCGTTTTTTTTTTTGTCATGTTTAATCTCTTTTCTTCATTTTTGATCTCATTGCCGGAAACGTAAAATAACGACGGAGGTTCTACTAAAATTAAATGCCATGAAAATTATAAAAATCAAAGAATATTTTGTTTTTCTCTCTCATCCCACCATCTTTAACCGTCTCTTCCATTTTAATTTCGGCATCAAAATTGACAAAAAGTAGAGGCATCACTCGACCCCGATCGTGTGCTGCAAAAGGCGTTACCGTAGGGTCAGTCCCCGCGATGTTTCTTATCGGCCGGCCATTTCAGGTCTAGCCTCGGGACGGACGGAAGTGACGGTTCCAAGATGTGCCGGGAGCGGCTACCCATTTTGCCATCTTTGAGGGTTACTCGTAAGGTTCAATGCGCACAAAATCAGGGGTGCCCTGAGYTCCCYYAATTTTTGCTGCCTCGTGAAACCAGAGTACCATCAAAACACACACTTGTTTTTGAGCCTAGGTCCCAAAGCCGCAGCTTTCAGGCGGCCCATCCCTTGTGGCCGCCTGACAGCGGTGTTGTTCAGTTGCAGAACCGGGTATCTAGGGAGACGTGTGAAAGCAATGGAAAGGTGTAGTTTTTCTGATGATCTGTACAGTGATTTGGGGGGGTCTTGTCAATCCGCTGACGTAGGGGGTGACGCGAGTTTTTGTGCACAACCACACACGGAGTCAGTGCAATCGGTGCCTTCATGGTCTTACGTGCCGCAACCCGGTGTCCGTAGAGGTTCGTTCGATGGTTATGGTCGGGAGAGATCTGCTCCGCAAGGCAGTAACAGCATGGTGCACGCGCCATTACATTCACGAGGTTTTTGAGAAGGGGCAGCCATGGCTTGTGCCAACATTTGGGGTTCCCCTCCGGACCTTCCACGGCAGTTGTCCCAGCCTCGGGCGGGGATAATGTCGCCCATCTCGCCAGTTCCTGTGGGCCGAACGACAGGAGGGGGCTGTTCGAATCACCCAACTCCGCATGGGATGAGTGATCAGTAGTCAGCGGAACTGTCTGCGATGGGGGGAAGCAGAGTGCTTCAAGGTGCGTCACCCGCAATCGGCATGTTGTCGGTCGTTGGAGTTGCACAAGCGCCGAGAAACTCGGAAGTCCACCAGAGGAGAATGTCGGTTGACGTGCAGGCGAGGGGGGTGGACGGCAGTTCACCTGACCTTTTTAGCGCAATGGACAGCAGGGGATATCGACAGTGGCACGAAGAAGGCAGGAGCGACGCCAGAATCGGGTTTCTGGGGAACACGGCCGGCGAGACAGGGGAGGCCGTTGTCGAGGGTACGGGGATGGGAAACCGTGGGGAGAGAACGCAGAAGAATGACGATGATGGAACGACATCCGCGGCGGTGGACAAGATTGATGAAGGAGTCGGTGATCGGACCAAACCGCGTCCCGCAGGTGGACGGGAAAGGAAAGGGGGCAGCTCACCACGACCGCCGAAGAAGAACAACCCCTGGTCTTTGGAAGAGAGATTGAACCTCGCGAAGTTGGCCAGTGAGGACGACGCCGTGATGGTCGACGCCGAAGGTGCTCAAGCGTGCATGACGAGGTCGAAAAGATGGGAGTGGGTTGCAGAAAGGCTTGGAGACATCAGTTACTCTAGGACGACAGAAGACTGCAGGAAGAAATGGGCGGAGATGGTGAAGAAGGTGAGGGAGATACGGGATGCATGCGAAGTTCGGGGAAACAAGCATATTGGGACACCACGACGGAGTAACGGAGGAAGCTAGGGGTTAGCTTGACGTTCGAGCGGCAGTGGTGGGACGCTATGGAGTGGTATCGGTTGAAGAAGTCGGTGGCGTGTAACGACACACTGGCTTCGGAAGATTTGAGAGGGGGCGGATCACCGAGCGGCTGCGAGACGGGTTCGGAGGGTGGTGGGACAGATGCTTCAGACACCGCCACCAAGACACGACGTACGTCAAGCGGGAAAGCCCGGGGGGGTGATTCTCCAATGTCGATGTACAGCATGGCATCGGTGATGGAGGAGTCAACGAGGGCGTTGTGTGAGGGTTTGGACAAGGCTGGCAACACATTGGCTCGTTCGTCGACGGATGGATCCAGGATGATTGCCATGGAGATCGGGGCTGTCGCCAGCGCGATGCGACAGGGCAATGCCGTTTTGGAAATGCTTGTCGGGGTTATGGCGGCGAGAGGTGCAGGGAGTGGTCGGGGAGCGGACGACAACCGCGATACGGACCCCTCCACAAGGTAGTGACCGATCATCGGCGACGTGGCTTCCAATTCCGACCCACCTGCGGAAAGGAGGGGGGGGGAAATAAAATGGGGGAATTTTTCTTTTCTTCAGAAAAAGAAAAGGCGCAGCGCACGAGCAGGGGTGGTGCTGTGTGCCTGCTTTGCGTGATGTTCGCTATAAAAAGTCATCATCCCTGTCGCTCTTGCGGTGTGGGCGTATTCCATTGCTGTCTCTTATACACATCTAGATGTGTATAAGAGAGAGGAGAGAGAGAGAGAGAGAGAGAGAGAGAGAGAGAGAGAGAGAGAGAGAGAGAGAGAGAGAGATGGCAGCGACTTTGGCATGGAGAGAGATTGTGCGAGGGGAGAGTGTCATGTGTTGGGAGCGCTGACGGGAGCGTGACATGTTCTTCCACCGCTACACAAGCGCGTTCGGCCCGGAGATCGACCGGAAGTCGTACCGGTTCTACTCCTTAGACGTCAATGGCAAGGCGGCGGTGGACCTTGATGTTGCAATCGGTTACCACAAGCGACAGTTGTCGCACGTGTTGGTGTGGGTGAAGAAGGTGGGGAGTTTCATCCCGGATGATTGGGCGTCGTTGACTGTGGACATTGTTGGCGATACCGTCCTCAAGCTCGTGGACAACCTTGTAGAGGACCACGACTGGCGGTTGGACAATGGTGCTTTTTTTTTTACACGTACCTCGATCCGCCGCTTGTTGGTTGTGGATACCTCCATGGAGAGATCTGGATGTAGGAGAAGTTCCTTGGGGATGGGACGGATGACCGGATGATTGCTTTACGACTCGGCTATGTGCCTTTCCTGACGTTGGGTTCAAAAGGTGGAGATGTTGTGGTCGAACGGCCGGCGGCTTCTTCAACAGACGGGGAGTGTCGAACACGTGTGTTTCTCCACGTGGCGCGCGACGCAGATTGCCGTTCTCGTCGTGTACGGGATCTTGCGGCGTTCACCGAGAGATGGCGTCTTTGGTGTCCATCGATTGTCCAACGCGTTCGTCTCGCCACGTGCCGAGCAGGGCAGTTGGCTGATGTGTTGAATATGGGGGAGGTGGCGGTGGTGTGGTTGATGGGCATGCGGACAGTTTGGCGACCATCGATTGTCCACGTCTTTCTTTCGTGTGCAAGAGCATGAAAGCATCAACCCCCCGTAATACACACATCACCATCGAGCACCGCACGAAATCGTCGTCCCAGTGGCCGATTCATTCACCACGAACCAATGGAACGGAAGAGGCAACCGAATCACGAACAAACACACACACACACACACACACACACACACACACACACACACACACACACACACACACACACACACACACACACACACACACAGGAGTAGGCACCTTGCACGACAACATCGAACTGAAATGAAATCGGCCAATTAAACGTCCCAGCCCATCACCGAATGAAACAAGTTTCAACGAAGAGAACGTCCCCAGCGAAGGCAAACTTCAATTAACCCCATCTATTTTACGCGTCAATGCCTGCTTGCACTTCCCACCCTCAAGCACCGACGACACGGAAGTCATCGAACTATATGGCCGCACAACATACTACCCACGCGACTTGCCTATCCTTACACCTATTACGAGTCGGCGACGGCGTGTGAAATCTACGTGGCGGGCCACCCGCTGCCATCAACGACACGGAACACTGGATGGGTCGGCGAAGCACAAAACCGTCCTGAAAGTCGGCTGCCATGGACCGTGAATGATCCCGGATGGCAGGAATTCACCGCACTGGCCACCGTGCCCGCGGTCCCCGCAGGGCGCCATCACCACTTGCACACACTCACCACAACGGCAAGCTGCGATGTGTGTGTGTGTGTGTGTGTGTGTGTGTGTGTGTGTGTGTGTGTGTGTGTGTATGTGTGTGTGTGTCTGTGGAAGAATCGACTGGAGACCACACAACCGGTTGTTTTACGCCTTCGCACCGCCGACTTTTTACTTTATAATCTTAACTCACTGCATGCAATTGTTTTGTTGATGATCGACATGTGGAATTCTCATGCGTGTCCCTTACCCAATCATGTCGTTGATGATCGACATGTGGAATTCGCATGCGCGTCCCCCCCCCCCCCCCCCCCCCCCCCCCACACACACACACACACACATACACACAATCAGTTTTATGTTTGTTTGTTTTCCACTTTTTGTCTGTCCTCCCTCTGATATTTTTCTAAGTAATTTTGCTTACCCAACTGATCACCCTTAAGTAGTGCCAAACAGTCGATGGTTCCTCGTTTGGAGTGCCAACTGCACTCTTAGGGGGGCCGCTCGGTTCGGGTGATCTGTGTTGCCTATAGGTGATGATGGATGCTCGTCGGAGTGTCTCCCTGGCTCAGTGGGTGGTGGGAACGAATGGTCTGTAGGGATCAACCGTGATGTGAGTAGGTCATGCGCTGCTTTGCTCCGTGTTGGATGTGTGGACTGCCTCGTCTGCGCACCACCGCCGCCTTGCTGCCTGTCCCGCTTGCTTTACATGTTACTCTCTGCAAGTTGCTGTGTTCACTGTGTAGTGTGGTTGTGTTGTCGGTGTTTCCTTGCGCTTCGCTGCTCTGCTGCCTTGCTGCCCACTCGCTGGCCGTGCCTTCCGTGTTTCCGCGCTGCGCGCCATGTCTTCCTTGCAGTCGTTTTTAGCGTTCGTCGTTTGGCAGTCGTGTTATCTCTATTGTGCTGCCTGGTGCTCCACAGGGTCGCCGCCCGCTGCTGTGTTCCACTTGGAGACAGTCTGCCTTAAACATGGGTCAAAGGGTTCATGACCCAAACCATCTAATACGGACATTCCCGCAGATTGTCGAGGGTTCAGCCTCCTGATGAGTCGGTGCAATTCCGACGAAACAATCTTCTCATCATCTGTTTTTATTTTTTTCGGTCTTTCGATTTGCTTGAGGCTTATATTTTTTTTCGGTTTGCCTGTCTCGGTGTGCTTGTGTGCCTCTTTTGTGTTCTTGTATGTTGTCTGCCGTCCTGCCTCCCCCGTGCCCTCCAACCTATGCCGTGATGTCTTTTTGCTTGCTTTGTTCTGATGCTTTTCTTGTTTAACTGGCCTCAGTGTGCTTGTGTGCCTGTTTTGTGTTTGTGCATGTTGTCTGCCTTCCCGCCTCCCCCTTGCCCTCCAACCTATACCTTGATGTCTTTTGCTTGCTTTGTTCTGATGCTTTTTTGTTTGCCTGGTCTTGGCATCCTCTTGGGACCTCTTTGTTTTGTGTTTTTTTTGGTTTGCCTGTTGGTGTGCTTGCACGTTGTCTGCCCTCCAGCCGTTGTAGTAAGTGCACTTAACTGGGAGGCGTTGGAACGCATCCTAGGGAGGTCGTGCTGAGTCTGGTCCCTGAACACAATGGATGAGCTACTAGAGAAATCTACCCACCTAGGACTCATGATTACCGGTCTGGCGTTCCCCATTCGAAACAATTGATATGGTGTCCACGTCTCGTGGGCTGAAGCGACAACCATGGTGTGCTTACACACACCCCTACACACACACACACACACACACACA